TAACATAAACTGTTCTATCATTCATATCTATTAGACCTAAATACAAACAACCAATCCCTCAAATATACCAAGTAAAATAGATCCCAAAGTAGTCTCTATTTTGGTTTTCAAATAGATTTCAACACAACTTCACAGAATGTCTTCAAACATATCATTGTTTTATACACATATAAGATACTAAAATCAATTGAACAATCTCATTATATATATATTAGTAGCTTCTTTCTTTTTTCATTGGCTATCTAAATGCATATACTTTAGGGTCGCATGAATTATTTGAGATCATGAAAGAATTATATTACAATATTGCCACTTTTGGAAGAAGGAAAAAAGAAGCATGCAGTATAATCATCAGGGGAGTCTTTGACTAAAGCTGAATTAAACATACCTAAAGATATTGAAAGGCGGAATTTTCAAAGGCATTAGTGGTCTGAGTAATTTAATACTGTGGTTTGATTTATATTCTAGAGTCCAAGTGCATGAACAATTTTCAGTAGCACGGCAGTTTTTGTAAGTGTATTTATACTTATTTTTCATGTGACCTTTCTGAAAGTTAAAATCCGATTAAAAATGAAATATTTATCCAGCTTATTTTATTAAGATTCTGCATTGAGCAAAAATGACTACATGTTGTACATTTTGTCAAGCATAAGGCCACTTGCTTGGAAGTATATTCAAAAGTGAATAGATAAACTTAAGTAGTGTTTAAAAGATAGTGAACCCTTTTAAATTGTTGATATTTCTGCATAATATTTGCACCCCACCTCACAGGGTTGTTGTTGTGGGGAAAATAGGAGGAGGAGGGTGTATTGGATATGTTCACTTCCTTGAGTTATTTGTAAAAAGAATAAAGGCAGGATAGAAACAAACAAAACATGATCGGTTCTGCATACAAATTATAAAACTAGATAAAGACATCCAATTAAACAAATGAGTCAAAAACATACTTGTTTATTAATTTATTGAGGAAAATCTTCCAGAGTCAGTTTGGTATAGCAGTTAAGGCGCTGACCTTGGAAACCAGGAGACTGTGAGTTCTAGTCCTGCTCTAGGGATGAAAGTCAGTGGGGAGATTTTCAGCTAGTCACTCTTAGTCCAACCCACCTCACAGTGTTTTTGTGGATAAGAGGTGGGAGTTCTACATATGTTTGCTACCTTGAGTTATATATTTAAAAAGTGGGATAAAAACATAATCATCATCTTCATCTTTCTAGACTACTGTCCCAAGCCTAGGAGGATATTTGCATAGATCCATTTTGTACACCAATTACATCAATTTCTACACAAAGTTGGTCATGCTTTGATCACTTCCTGCCTGGATTCTGGCAATGCCATCTGGAATCCTCCCTACAGAACATCCAGATAATTACATACATACCATAACAAGTCCATGTAGTGCCACTACTTTATTAGCTGCATGGGCTGCTGGTAGGCTTCTAAAGGTAATGCAATCACCTATAAGGCCTCTATGACAGATAGACATGGAGAAAATCCATGTGGTCACTGAGAGCTGACACAATTTGATAACACATAATCAATTTCCTCTTTAAAAGACTATTTCTGTAAATGGGCTTCTATAAATGGGCTTCTTTGTCTTTTCTGGCTAAGACCTCTTCTCAGCCATATCTCATTTATCATTTACTGTAGTTAGTTTTGAGAGATCAATTCACTGTACAGGTCTTGATTAGTGGAGATTACATAGTTGGGATATTAAAAATTGTAGAACAGAAATAACAAAAAGGAATACAGACATTAGTAAGAATACTGAGGAGCATTTTATAGTCCTATAAGCAAACCATTTTTGAAAAATATATGTCAACGAATATTTTATATCTATTATTATTGTGAATATAAATCAAGAAAATATTAACAGCTTTATTTAAAAATATGATTATCACCCAATTTGCCTTTATCCAGACACAATATGTAGTAGAATATTTGTTAGTAATATTTCTATAGTGTAAGTTTCCAAATGGATAGCCATACACAGAATTATTTTTATACGTTCCTTTTTTGTTCAACATTTACACCTCATTTATAATCAAAGGGTAAACAATGAGAAATGTTTTCTAGCCATTATTCTATTTGAATGAACTGATTTAACTTTCATTCCATCTCTAACAAAAAGTAAGATGGTCTTTTTGATCAAATTACCAAGGAAGCAGCAAATAGAGCTTTCATTTATTAGAAGTATTCAAGCAAATGAAGGAGAATTTGTGTCAGGAACACTTCAATCTGGAATCCAGCAGAGTTTAGGATTGGATTTGATGGAGTAAATAGCCCCTGCCAACCTCTTGATAACCTCTTGTCATGATACATGGCTGGCCAGAAAACAGCAGCTGAATCCCATTTCACTGGAGGAAGTGCCTTCTCAGCCATAAGAGATAGCAACTGCCTCCTCTACTGAGTAAGAACATAATCTCTATTCCACTCTCCACCACAACTTCCAGACGTCTGATACTGCAAATCAAATGAGGGCTTCAATAATGCAGCCAACCACTACTGGCATGGTGGAGGTGACCAAACTACAAATTCTGCATAATGTTTCAGTTGGATTTAGAGAAGGCAGACAATCTGATATTCATAGGATCCAGTATACAAGGGTTTCTGTCTCTCTATACTTCATTTTTTCTTTATATTCCTTAATTTTTTTTAATGGAAGTTGAAATGCTGTGAAGGGCCAGCTTCTATTATCACTCCTGTTATTACTTACAAAATGGTGGGTTATCCACACCCTGCATGCACCTCCCAAATAAATTTTAGCAACAAAATCTTGTGTCATGTCTTGGTCCAGACAAAGAGGGTTAAGCATTAAATTGCTAGTGGTTGTCCGACAGATATCTCCCATTCATGTGCCTACTCTTAATCTCACAACCTCTCCAACTGTCAGTAGGTCCTTTCTGTTGATGTGACTGTGTCAGTGGATGGTACCTGAAGGTTCTCCAGAAAACTGGGAAGGTTAGTTTTGTTCCCAACTCCTCAGAAGATGCACAACCAGATTTGATTTTTTTATTATATTATATTATATTTTTTTATATCAAAACAGTTGAAATATGTCTTGCATTGTAAATACTTCTACAGATGTTTAAGGAAAGCAAATATTTTTTTCATAAGATTCAGAATTCCCCTCTTGCCTTAGATATAGAACTCAACATTAACAAGAAAAGATAACAATTCAGCAATAAGAGTTACTTATATACTGCTTCATAGTGCTTTACAGAACTCTCTAAACAGTTTACAGAATCAGCATATTGCCCGCAACAATGTGGGTCCTCATTTTACTGACCTCGGAAGGATGGAAGGCTGACTCAACCTTAAGCCCGTCAGGATCAAACTCCTGGCAGTGAGCAGAATTAGCCTCCAATGCTACATTCTAACCACTGCACCATCATGCCAATTTATTATTATAATAATTCATATTTAAAAGCAGACTGATAGCTTTATTTAATTATTATCTATTAGAGTAATCCCCTGTCTTTTTGCCAGGAACCCAAGAAATGTTACAAGCATTGGCACTGAAATGCTTCTGAACTCAAATCAGACTCCCAGGTTAGGCTCCTTGGTCTCCAAAATGATATATATATATATCAGTGATATATTGTCCAAAGTCTCACATACTATCATATCTTTTTCTGTGTCCCTTATCATCATGTACAAATTCACAAAATGTCCAGGGGGCAAAAAAAGTTGCTGACCCCAACTAAAAAATTATCAGAAACATTATAGTAATACACTTTTATTTACAATTTTTAAAAATGCCTGTTATTCTAGTTTCCTCAATTTGGTTTGCAGCAATTTACTGAATCAGTACAACTTGACAAATGTCTCACTTTTCCATTGCTAACTGAAATTGTGCTTATTTGTGAATACTTTATTTAGGTCAAAAAGATTTAGTAAATTCTTGTGTCATATATATCCAGAATAATGATTCATATATGATGATTCCCACATGTTGAATCACTAGTTTCTGAGAGATGCTCTTGGGCAAATATACAACACAAGACGCTCATATATCTAAATCAGCCTTCTTCGACCTAATATTCTAAGGAAGTATTGACTTATCAATATTCATTCATCCAACTAGTATGGCCAAGTTGGGGAAATATCATCTAAACCTAAATGTAAAGCTTCTATGTAAGATTGGATCTTAGTCACAAATCTAAGCCCTTTGAATAGTAGATCCTCTTATTATAGGTAAGTAATATTCATCCCCCCAAATATGTACTTAACTGCATTATTAAATAAAATACAATCCCATAGAATCATTCTCTTCTATTTGCTTCATAAAGCATGTTTGTACACTACTAATAAACTTTTATTTTTCAATGAACATAATAAAAAAAATTAATCACCTATAAAGACTAACGTGATTGTTTTATTAAGTAAATCAACTGGATAATTAATTAGACTTAATATTTATTGCAAAATACATGCATCGAAATCAAATGTATAGTCCTTAATTGGAGCATGTTAAATCCTCCATATTTTTGTTGTCTTTCAATATATATTAGCGCAATATAAATATATTAAAGCTGTAGTTAGCCTAATCAATGAAATTTAGTTCAAAACAAATACTTCTAGAATCAAGATATAGATAAATCATGCTACCTTTTAATAAACAACTGATTAAAATCAGGCATTTGCTATTCCATATGCTCCCTACCAATGCAGGGATGGGCCACAAATAACAGGGAGGTTATTATTATGCACAGGCAAGGTGCAGTGCTTAACCCTTTATTATTTCTGCCTGATTATCTCTTCTTGCACCCCCTCACTTTTTTCACTAAAATCACACAGAGATTTGTAAAACATTAAAAATATAATAGCATAGAAAAGCAGCATACTTCTATGTTATAAAATCAAGTAACAGGGTATAAAATGAGAATATGGTTCTGTTCTGTTCCTACATAACCTGAAAGAAAATAAGGTCACAGAGTGAGCTATCTTCTTGGACGAATTCTTAAAACATTAAAAAGCAACGAAAACACAGAACAACTTACATTTGCAACATAACTTCATTTAAGAAAACTCCATCTAGAAGTGCAACATATTCTTCCAGGTTGCTAGCATTTTGTCCAGCTAAGGATCCAAATGTCTTAACCTAGAATACAGAACATATTTATCATCACTATGACATGAATTCTGCCTGTACTTGCCAAGAAATCATTTATATAAATTCCATTACTGATCAACAAATGCTTACCCAGGTAACAAGTGGGCTGGATATGAAGACCTCCAAAAGAGGTGTGAATATCTCATTTTCCATGTTTTAATAAAATATCTGAATTATAAAAGGTTAGAGAAGAAAAGTCTCTTCTTTGCGGTAATTCCGTGAAATGCCCAACGTCTTCAAGAAGAATATACCCTGGCTAGTTTCCAAATAAAATTCAAAAGTAGTCAGAGCTGTGGCAACAAAGATTTCATTATCCACCTCGTCCAAAAACGGAGCGATCGGGAGGCCATGGACGTTCTTGGGGGTTTTCGCCTACGGCTCCGATTGACTCTTTCTTTCCTCCTCTTTCCGCGCTGAAGGGGAAGGAGAAAGGAGAAACCCGACGACGATCCTACATCAGCCGCAAACTCTCCCCTCCCACCCCCCTCTCTCTAGGCTGCACCACCCCAAGCAGGCAAGCCGCAGGCATGTGAAGGGAAGCAAATTTCAAGGAAAGTCGCCCCGACAGCTAATTTTAACCCCCAGCTAGCAAAAAACAAAACCGTATGACAGGAAAGGCAGAAATCGTATTGTCCTTCCCAACCACTCGAGAAATCTCTGAGATTCAAGCACAGAAGAAATCGCCCTCTTTCCTACCCAAGCTGATCTCCCCCCGCCCCCTCCCCACACACACGCGCGCGCGCGCTCCCCCCCTTCCCGGGCAGACTGGACGGCCGCCGGTTCCTGCGCTCACTCCACCCAAGAGCCTGGCGCTGCCGCTTTCTGTACCACCTCTATTTCTCGCCTCGTCCCCGCAACCTTCCTCACTTTATGGGTAACTGAGCAACACCCATCAAAAAGGAAGCAGAGCCCCACCCCCCCGCCTAGTCCCTCAGCGCTCGCAATTGATCGCTCCCCCCCGCTCGGTTCCAAGGCTACCCGGCAGCTCCAGCCTCTCCCTTCCGCAGCTTTTTCCACAACCACGGCGCCTCGCTCACTCCCACCCCACAACAGCCGACTTCTTCGCCCCCTGAAGCCCTTATTATTCGCTCCTCCTCTACCCCAACCCCCGCCACCCCCGTTTTATTCCCCCCCTCCCTCCTTCTAGTAGTTCAGTTCCAGGAGCGGTCCTTCCAGCCACTCCCCAGCCTACCACCCTTCCCTTCCCTTCCCTTCTAGGGACTAATTTTCCGCTTGCGGGTGCACACCCACTGCCGTCTCCCTGAAGTAACGGCCACCGATCTTCAACAGATTCGCAGGGCTCACACGCGCACTCCCCTTCCTTTCGCTTCTGTAAGGAAGAGGAGAGAGAGAGAGATCCCTCCGCAAAGCAGGGGAAAGGGGGGTTGACTTTTTCTTCTTCTTTGCAGTCTGCAGGTTTCGTCTTTATTCCTCCGCCGCTGGACTGACTGATGTTGGAATTAAGGGAAGGGGAGGGACGAATATTGAGGAAGGCAGAAAAACCGCTGCAGGGCGCGCGCGAGGAGCGCACCCGGGTCGGCCGCCGCTGCAGCAGACCCAGCGAAGGGCGCGCGCTGAGCAGCCTATAATGGAGCTAAAAGGGGAAAAAAATAGTATGCTTGGGAAGAGGGTAACATGATAAAGAGGTAGTCAGATTCCCCCCCACATACACACGACATGCCACCCAGCCAGGAACTCTGGCCTCAGTAATTATGTAATGTATGAATGTTCCCTCTGGATCCTGCTTTCGCTTCATTTGCACCTTAGAAAAAGATGAGTGAAGATCAATAATATGTTACATGTAGATCTTTATGACATGAAAGAAATCGAGTGTGAATTCCTTATGTGGGGAAGGCTGGAAAGATTAAATATATTTTTGTCCATATTAGAAGGGACCAATTCTATTTCTACAATACCCCCCTCCCCAAACAAAATTAGTACACCATAATCCTGTCTGCATTGCATGGATGTTGATGGGCTCTGTAATTATATATCCCATGGCTATCATTCTGTTGGAGGGTCTTCATTGCACTTAAAGGCTCTCCATCTACTCCTCAGTTTATTTTCTGGCTGTTTTCTATTTCAGGAGATTTCAGTTTTAAGCATCTTATGCGACTTCCAGAATGAAATATTTTAGTTCCAATATTACCATTATGGTCCAATTGGTGTCTTTCAAGTCCCAGTGATGGCTCTTGTACAGAGGGGCCATTTTTTTTTCTGGTCTCTGAGCTATTCTTCTGAGAAGCCATTATTCCACCATTCCTTTTTGTCATGCAATTCTCCAGTATTTGGGGAGTTCATTAATATTTGATTTAAAAGTTTTCCAAATTAGGACGAACATACATAAAAAATATTGTAGAAAATAAGACTAACAGTGTTATAAAGTAAGCACAACATTTCTATCACTCTGGCATATTTTATATTTTAAAATAATAAAACAGAAAGGTGTATACAATATAAAATCTTTTGCCTCGTTCAACTCTTTCTTAGGATATTCCTTGGTCTACCATATTAAGAAAAAAAGACAAGTCAGATGAGAGTTAGCAGAGTAATCAATAGCTCTCTTGTAATCTAGGACACAGAAGAACAGAGATAACTACTGGCAGATATGTCTTCCCAAAGGTGTCATCCAATTGAACTAATTGCTGCTAGATTCAAGACAGACAAAAAAAAACCACTATTTTATTACACTTTAGGTACCAACAAATTTATTATAGCAAAAGTTTTCATGAATTTATAGATGAATTTATCAGATGCATGAAGCATCATGGTAACATATGTGTTGTATATGAAAGAGCAGACGTCTGTGTAAATATGTCTCTGTAAAGGAAAAGGTGAAATGGAAAAAAACAGTATGATACCTTGTTTCTCACAAAATAAGGGCGGGTCTTATTTTTTTTTTTTGACCCCCCCAAAAACGGCTAGGCCGTTTAGTTTCAATATAGTACCTGAATACATAGTTGTATGTTTGGTTTACATTCTTTCTTCCAGAGCAGCATGCGTTATACTCATTTTGGATTTTTTTTTCCTCCAGAGCAACTCTGGAATTTGTTGGGTTGAAGAAGAATGGTTGGATCAAAATCACCCAGTGACCTTCTATGCTGAGGGCGAGCTAAAACCCAGATTTCACTGGACAACAAAGATTTTGCATCCTGAACATGTTTGGGTGTATTTACAGATTTTGGGCTGCTAAGCATGAAAATAACCTGTAGCTTAACCTACCACATACCATTTTATAGAAATCTTCTGTTTTTACACAATGGCAATGTACACCTTCAGAATCTGTTGCCTATGCTGCACACATGAAAGAAACATGAAAACATGGACAGTGGTTGAAGCACATTCAGTACACCAAATACAACAGGTATATCTGAATATCTAAAAGTAATGGCTCTGTTGCTTGGAATGCAACTTGGACATACCAATACTGTTGTTATGTGAATGGGACAGTCATGCAAGAAATGGCCTCTCTAAAAGAATTTGGTTCCAGCACATAAAAATGTGGTACAAGAACTACTAGCTTACCTGACAAAGAATTTTTCTGTCCGCTTCACATTAAATCAGATTGATGAATTTTTTTATGAAAACAGTAAGTAAGGAAAGTAAAGGTTTTCATTATTCGAGAAGGATATTTCCAAGAATAACTGATGCCACAGTTGGTCCACAGATCAGATACATCATTGGTGACAGGTGATTTGAAGATCTGTTAGTGGGGCCAGAGAAAATCACCTGGAAAACATTAAAGTATATCACTGAGAATTTTCTTGGCAACTACAGAGCACCAAACTATATTCAGCTGGTTGACGAATGTATTAACAGCATACAAGACCATGAACTGCAACATGTCACTGAAAATAGATTTTCTGCATTTACTGTCATTGGAAGTCATTGGACTTCCTTCCTGAATATCTAGGTGCAGTCAGGGACAAACATGGTGAAAGTTTTCACCAGGACATTGCCAAAATAGAAAAACGGTATCAGGGCAACTGGATTCCTTCAATGATGGCTGAGACTATTGCTAGACACTGAAAAAAAAAAAGGTGCATCAGACACTGAGTATAAAAAACCCCCAGAAGCAAAGTACTTTTAGTCCTATTGAACTCATGCAGCATGCCAGAAACATTATGGGATTAAGTACATTATAGCCATTAAATGTTAATTTCATATTTCTCAAGATTCCAATGTGATGCAAAGATTCTGAAATTATATTTGTGTTCAGTTTGAAAGGATCTGCCATAATCACCAAATGTTTTTCAAGAAGCAAACATTTTGAAAAAATTGTTATCCAGGATTACCCAAGCATCATCTAAACCTCAACCATGGCAGTAGAACATATACTATATGTATTCATTTAGACTCAGTGTTGTAGAATTTCATAAGTTTGACATGTCATTTGGTTTGAAATTATGCCTGTAACAGTTAGCAATTATATATAGTTGCTAGCTATAATTGCAAAATTTTAACAATATGTCTGGGTTAATAATAAGTATGGCTGCTCCATAAATAGTGCCCACTTTCAGGAAGGGTCTATGGCAATTTGCCATGGCCAATTCACCATGACTAACTCGCCACAATCAACTCACCACAGCTAACTTGCCATGGCCAACTTGCTGCAGGATAACTCACCACGGTCATCTCGCCACGGGATAACTTGCTGCGGGACAAGAGTTACACTAATATCAAAGAAATGATGGAATAGAATTATTAAAGAAAGAATGCAAAAGGAGGAACAGAATAAAGTGAATGGCAAAAATGAAAATATTTTTTATTTATTTTAAATAATTAAATAGAATTGTTACATTGTCCCGCAGTGAGTTGACCATAAGTCGACTGCAATGAGTTGGCTGTGGTGACATGGCCATGGTGAATTGTCCCATTCCTTCCAGGAAGAAGCTACGAGACCTAGGGATGCTGAGAGGTGGAGAAGCCTGTTCTCCTTCCCCAACGTGAGCTCCGGAGATCTACAGAGATAAGGTAAGTGAGCTACACCCCCACTCTCCTCCACATCCCTTGATAGCTTACTTACCTTCAGTATTGTACATCTCCAGAGCTTGCATTAAGGGAAAAGAAAAAGCTACTCTGTCCCTTAGCATGGTTAGGCTGCATGTCCAGGAAGTGTTTGCCATTTTCAGAGAAGCCACAATGAGGATTTTCTATATATGATTTTCTGCTTTTTATAACAACTAGAATTTACTGTTTTGGCCTGAACTGTAGATATATTCAGTTGTGCTCAAATTTTCTATAAATGGACAAAAAGTTAATTTCCATGTGACCATATATCAAATGTTGTTGACATTTTGCTCTGAAAAACTTTGTACACCAGCTGTTACCATTTTTAAAAAAAATACTTTCTGTAGACAAAAAACGTGATGTTACTATGAAAAAAGTCTGCTGATCTCACCAATGCAAACAAAAGAGCTGTTCTTTTCCTTACTGAGATTTGGTAACAATATTATCTCCAATCTCTATTCCAAGCAAATATTAAATTTGCTGTTTAGTTGGATTTGTTTTAATTGTTATTTAAAACATAGAATAATGCAATTAAAAAGGTCCATGAATTCATATTTGAAAGGCAACACTGACTGAGGAACAGGAAGCATGAACAGGGCTAATTCTGTTTAAACTTTCGATCAATTTTTTCCCTATTCAGAAGCAGAATTGTTCAAAGTCCAAAAAAGAGGAAGTCAGAAAACCCACAATTTC